TATATATATATATATATATATATATATATATATATATATATATATATATATATATATATATATATATATATATATATATATATATATATATATATATATATATATATATATATATGTACTACCCGCAACTATAATTACAAAAATTAGCAGGCTCTATTATTTTTCAAAAAAAAAAGTTTTTCAAAATTATGTGTTGTAGGTACTCAAATAAAGCGAAACTTTATATTTCAAAATTAATATAAAAATAATTTATTATTTTAATATAAAAATAAATTATTATTTTTGAAATTTCAAAACGAAATTTCAAAAATAATAATTTTTTCATATAAAAATTATTATTTTAGATTTTATTGCATACCGTAAAACGGGGTGAATAGAAACAATTTTCAACTTTGGTATGAAAATGTGCATACTTGTAGTTGTTCTAGATAAACATTTTTTTGCCCAAATACAGGTCTCTGTTAGGCCTATTTGTTTATAGTATTTAAATTTTTTAATTTTATTTGATTTTTTATATATTTTGAAAAATATATAAAGCATGGTGTTTCTATTTACCCCGCAGATGGGGGTGAATAGAAACAGTACTTCAATTTCATGTGTTTTTCTATTGAAAAAAATTTAGGGTGAATTGAAACAGACAAATATGAATTTTTGGTCAATAAATGAATACAAATAAATTTATTTCTCAACATAATGATTTATTTGAGTACATAAACAAAAGAAGTTACATATAATGTGCCCTACGGTAAGAAAACAAATTGGAATAGTCCTCTTCATCTTCTGATTATATCTCCACACGCTTTCGGCTTTTCATTGGCTGAACCTGTTTAGTACCTGAGGTACCTGGGTTTTGGCCAGTAGAACGTGAAGTTTGGGGAATCTCATCGTCCACGACGAAGTCCTCAACATCAATACTTTTGCCAGGTTTCACATTTACTTTGGTCCTTTTTTGCCTTAACTTAGGAGTCTGATCATGATGCAGACTCTGAAGGAGCTCTTGGAAACTCCTGTCAACAGCTTCAGTGTTCTTTTGAATGTTTTCTGGATTCTGATTTTCCTCATCATCAATGATTTTTGGAAGCATAAACAGCACTTTGTTCCTGTTCAGAGGCGCTATACCGCACTTCTTAAAACCGCTGATCACATTTTCTTTCTTCAATGAATCACACAACATTTTCAATAACGCGGGAAATTTGTCCTTAGGAAAAGTTGCTGCTGCTCTTCCTAGGCCCTTTTTCCACTCTTCGAGAATCTGCCGCCATGTTGATTTCAATGGGCGAAAAAAGGCTACGTCTAGAGGTTGTGTGAGATGGGTGGAGTTAGCTGGGAGAAAAATAAAACTGATATCATTGTCTTTACACAACTTCACAGATTCCATTGATAAGTGGAAAAAAGACAAATTGTCCCCAATCAGAATTTTTCGACCCGTTTTGTTTTTCAGGTACGGAAGAGCACCTGTCAGTACCCAATCTTCAAAGTAAAAGGAATCGAACCAGCCAGACTTTGTTCGATTGTACCTGGCGTTTCTTGGCCCACCTTCTGTTCAGCTTTGGTACAAGTGCATAGCCTTATACACAACGTAAGATGGTAAAATAGTGCCATCAGCAGCGGCTGCAAACATCACAGACGTAGATGACTTTGATGAGTTTATGACTATTTCTGGATATTTTGTCCCTCTACGTATAAAGACCTTTCCCTTACCAGGGTCATCACTTAGATTCGTCTCATCGTAGTTAACGATATTAGATAAAGGCACATCCTTAAATTCATTTGTCAGTTCATCAAAATAGTGGTTAAATGTTTCTGGTGTTACACCAGCCCTCGAGCGTTTAATATTCTGACACATTCTCACGGCCAGTTGTTCCTTATGACGTTTTATAAATGATTCCACAAATTCACGGCCGGGGAGGTTATCTTTAAACCTCTTAACTTCTTTCCCTCTCCGGTCTAAAAAGTCTTTTACAAGGAGTCGTAGAGTTGTAGTGTCAATGGGATAACCCCATTTGCCACATATCTTAAGCATATCAACAAACAGCTGTTCTTCTTCAAGAGATAATGCTGTCTGACCACCATGTTTCTTCAAATTTGGACCTCTTTTCAAGTGTCGATAAAGAACACTATAATGCAAACCATGTTTTTCAGCAGACTTTCGAAGGCTTAATCCATTCTGTATGTCAGAAATTGCTCTTTCGATTGTTTTTGGATCGTGTTTTTTGTAGCCACCTCCAACCACGTGTTTGTACTTCCTTGGAATTTTACAGGGTTCTGAAATAAAACAGCTGTGTCAGTTAAGTGTCTAACATAAATATATAGCATACAGTATGTATTTTATACAGTATAAACGTGATTTAGAATTACTTTTTTATTGCAGGGTGTAAAGAAACACTAGAAATTATATGTTTCTATTCACCCCGTCAATTCTGAAAACCTGACCTAAAAAATTCGAATAATTATTAAAATAATATTGTTACAGTTAAAGCTTAAAGTTAGCCTAACTCTTTTATATGAATAATTAAACTATGTTTTGTACAGCTATTTACTTTCAAGAACACTGAGTATTCCGACTTACCTGGAAAGTTCAAAGTGAATAAAAAAAAGCAAGAATTGCGGGGTAAAATTCTACATGAAAAACAAACAAGAACCAATGCTGCTAAAAAAGCAAACCATTATTTCACTTTCAGGCTAAAGTGTAGCAACCTAAAAAAATTATTAGTTGCCATTATTTACTTATAGTTATGTAGTAAATAGATTATATATACAAAAATGAAGTTTTGTTTCTATTCACCCCACTGTTTCTATTCACCCCGTTTAACGGTAATAACTATTGTTTTTTAACTAAAAGTGAAAAAGGTGCATTTTTACTTGTTTTTAATAACAATTTTTTTCGGCATTATGATTTTTATAAAACAATTTTTTTTTTCGAATTTTTTATAAAATTTTGCTTCTTTTGAGTACCAGGTTGACCTACTTTTGAAAAACTTTTTTTCTCCAAAATGTTAGGGTACTGGTAGTTTTCCCAATAAAGTTGCACCCTTTAAATCTAACAGAATCATTCTCATATTTGATAGTATCAATATTAATAACTATTAGCAATGTTTAGAGCCTGTAAATTTGCGAGCTCGTGTTTACTTTTTATCTATTTTTTAAAACATTTAAAAAATATTTTGATGATATAATTTATTACATGATGATGTAAGGGTTTGTCCATAAAGGGCGTCAAACAGAATTTAAATAATAATTAGAAGTAGAAGATCATTGGCTCTCTTCTGCTGAGATTTTCATTGAACATAAATTGCTATATTACCATATTACTGTGAAAAAGAAATATATATTCAAAAATATACTCTTGAAATAAAAGCGGTAATGATATATTAAGATAAAGAATAAATCAATTATGTTATTTTTAATAGTAATTAATTAATATACACTGATTATTTTAAAATATAAATATATATAGTTCCTAATATATGTTTGGAAATCAGAGCTTAATTTGCCGTGTCTCCTACTTCTGCTCTTTCTGTTCTATTTTTTTTGTGTAATTTATGAGCGATCCCTAACATATAATATATTTTAATCTTAACAGAGGGGGAGGGGGATGGTTAGGAAATGTTTTGACATTTTTTTATTACATAATCTATATATTGACATATACAAAGCATGTTATAAAATTTAGTACTTTATGGTTAGTCCTTTCGACTTTAAAAGAGCTTTGATATGCCTTGGCATACTATTTATGCACTTAGAAGTTAATGTTTTAACTTCTGGATATTAGCACCATACTTCAATCAGTCGTTTAGTGAGCTTCTGTTTACTTGATATTATGTTAACACTGACTTTGTGTTTGACAAGCTCCCATAGATTTTCATATCTGGAGATTTGCCAGGCCAATCAAGAAGCTGGATACTCTCATTAGCAAGAAATGTCTTTATGGATTTTGCAGTATGGCATGGAGCACCATCTTGCATAAAAATTACTTTTTCACCACTCTCATAACACTCTCATATCTAAAACCACTCTCATATCTGTGGAACCAGCATAGTCTGTAGCACAGTCTTGTACTGATCTTGTTTCATTTTCCCTTGTACAATGTAAAGATTACCCGTACCCCTGCTCGATATGCATGACCAAACCATTATAGATGCTTGTGCTTTACAGTGTTTACAATGCATTCTGGTTTGTGTTGTATTTATTCAAAAACATCTTTTGAAAACTTGTAACAAGAAAATATACTTTGTTTAAGTGTATGGAGAGAAAATGTTTCTAATCTAAAACAAAAAATGAATGATAGGAAGTTAAAGTACTCATAAACAAAAAGTAAGCAGCAATAACATGTCATCAAAAGAAATCATCCATAACATGTCGTTCTTATAACTTTTAATTTTTTTATTTTTATATCATTTACATTACAAATTTGGAATCCTATAGTTTTGCTCAAGGAATCCAAAAATAGCTTTCTCAGGAATAAGTCTCAAAAAATTTATTGTTAATCCTATTTTATTGAAAAATTATAGCCTAAAATAATTATTTTTATTTCTCTTATTATTACATAACACATTAATATTTGTAGCTAAAGTGGATGGTTCATCTAAAATCCCTAGAAAGTTGTATATTATAATTTTATCTTTTTTATTTATTTTTATCTTTTTAACTGTATATAATAATTTTATCTTTAGCTTACTAAAAAAAAAAATTAGATTATGCATTACTCTCTAATACTTAATCAAAATAAGCCTCAAAAGTAATATCTTTTCAGAATTTAGAAATCTTTTTCTAACCAAGAAATTGTATTAAGAAACTTTGTACCAAAGAAATTTTTACCAAAATTTTTGATAACTTTTTTTTTCTGAATAAAACATAAAAATAGCTTAGTTTTATTTAGTAGTCTAGCGGATATATACCAAGCGGCAAATTAACTTAATCATATTATTTAAATTACCTAATCACAAAAATGTTAGGCAGAAAAAACAAGTTTATAACAACAAAATTTTCAAAATTCATGAAGGCTCTCATAACTAACAAATGTTTAAGTATTTTGTGTATGCAATAGATGTTAATCGAATCCTTAATGACTTTGACCTATCACATTTTACGATTGGTTAAATTGCCTCTTGTATATACTCATGTATACATCATTGAATTAATTAGTTGCAGCAATTTTCAGGATTCTTTAATAATTATTTATCAGATATTTTATTTCTTTTTACTTTTTACTCATTAAAATTATACATGAAATATTAGCAGTTGTCAATTTTCCTCACTTTATGTAAAATATTTATATACTGTGTTATAGTTTTTAATACTCTTACCTAAAGTCTACAATATTAATTAAGGTACAAAAAAATTACTTTAAGTTGTTTTAGCATCATACAGCTTTTTAATGCCAAAAAAAAATAAGGTAATTTTTTTTTTACTTTTTATTTAAAATTTTTTTATTCAATTGGTTTATTTTAAAATTAATGAATTTTCAAGGACTTATTAATGTGAATGAAAATGTCATTTATAAAGACTGCAAATCATCTATTGGTAATGAAGTTTTGTCTCTGGCACAGTATGCAGAGTTAGATGGGTTATCAACAGGTGTAGTTACTACAACACGTCTAACACATGCAACTCCTTCAACTGTTTATTCAAGTTCTGCTTCAAGAAGTTGGGAGCATGACAATGCTGTTAAGGACAAGCAATGCAAAGATATAGGTACTTTTATCCCTATATGAATATGTCTATGTAATGCATGTAATGCTATACTTTTATGTATAACTTTTTTTATCATAGGTATAGTTTTATTTTTTGTACAAATGTATTTGTACTTTACATTTTTCCACAATGCTTAAAGGGATCCCAAACTTCTAAGACATGTTGTATTTATGTTAAAGAGAATGATAAAAAAAAAATGTTTGGGCTAAATGATCTGATCATGGTTTGGTCTCTCTAAAACTATGATAAAAAAAAATGTTTGGGCTAAATGATCTGATCATGGTTTGGTCTCTCTAAAACTATTATCTCATTCTTCTTTACCATCAGAATCCCCCTATCATTGTTCATCTTACAACTACCTTATAGCTGACTGGGATTCCCGTGATTTCCGTGATTTTCTTCGTGATGGCCCCTGGGTAGAAATCTTTCGTCTTCCTGTTGACAAATGTGCTTCTTACATTACTTCGTGAATTCAGGCTGACATGGAATCCTTTATTCCCTCTCGACGATTCCAGGTCAAGCCTCACTCTTCTCCATGGTTTTCCTCACATTGTGCTGCTACAATTGCCAATCGAAACTATTACTTTCATATCTATCAGCAAAACAATTCTCCAGAAAACAGACATCTGTTTACTACTGCTAGAAACCATTGTAAAAAGGTTTTGTCTAATGCCAAAGCCCGCTATTCTCAGATCATCAAATTTCGTATTTCATCACAAAAATTAGGCTCTCGTGACTTTTGGAGAATCTTTAATAGTATCAACAATAAGGGCAACTCTGTAATTCCACCTCTTTTGTACGATTCAGACTTTGTCACCTCACCTAAAGGCAAAGCTGAATTGTTTGCCAAGAACTTTTCATAAATATGATCTCTTGATTCTACTAGTTGCGTTCTACCTGATATAGCCGTCAAACAGGTTGATCCACTGCTCGACATCCGTATCACTCCAGCTTCTGTATCTAAAGTGATTTCCTGCTTAGACTCTTCTACAGCTTGCGGCCCAGACAACATACCTGTCATAGTCTTGCAGAAGTGTTCTCCGGAGCTGTCGTCTATCTTTTCAAAACTATTTAACAAGTGCTTATCAGAATCTTGTTTTTCAGCCTGCTGGAAAGCAGCATCTCTTATCCCTATTTTTAAAAATTCTGGAGAGCGATCCGATTTGTCTAACTGCCGTCCCATTAGTCTTCTTCCTATCATAAGCAAGGTTTTTGATTCTTTAATTAACAAACACTTAATCTCTCATCTCGAATCTCATAACCTACTTTCTGATCATCAATATGGATTTCGATCTTCTCGTTCTACGGCTGATTTGCTAACAGTAATAACTGATAGGTTTTATCGCGCATTAGATAAAGGTGGAGAGGTTAAGGCCATCGCTCTTGACATTTCTAAAGAGTTTGATAAAGTTTGGCATGCTGGTCTTCTCCATAAACTTTCTTCTTACGGTGTATCTGGAAACATCTTTAAGATTATTGAATCCTTCCTTTCCAATCGTAATATAAAAGTTGTCCTTGATGGACTGCACTCTTCTTCTTATTCTGTAACCTCAGGGGTTCCTCAAGGTTCAATCCTTGGCCCTATACTCTTTTTTATTTACATTAACGATCTTCCAGATATTCTCACATCCAAGATGGCATTGTTCGCTGATGATACTACCATTTATTCTTGTCACGATAAGAAGCCAACTCCCTCTGATTGCTTGCAGGGGGCATCTGAGCTTGAAAAGGATCTCACTTCTGCTACAGCATGGGGCTCACAGTGGCTTGGGAACTTTAATTCAGATAAAACTCAATTTTTTTCAGCCAATCGTTATTGCAATAATTTAGACCTTCCTATATTTATGAACGGTAATGTACTCGATGAGTCTCCTACCCTTCATCTTCTAGGATTAACTCTTACTTCTGATCTTTCTTGGAAACCTTATATCAAATCCGTTGCAAAATTAGCATCTGCTAAAGTTGCTTCTCTTTATCGAGCTTGTCACTTTCTTACTCAGGATTCTATTCTCTATCTCTATAAATCTCAAATCCGGCCTTGTATGGAATACTGTTGCCATATCTGGGGTGGATCTTCTAATGATGCCCTTTCTCTTTTAGACAAGGTGCAAAAACGCGTTGTAAATACAGTTGGACCTGCTCTTGCAGCCAACCTTCAACCTCTGTCACATCGTCGTAATGTTGCTTCTCTTTCTCTTTTCTACAAATACTATAACGGGCACTGCTCTAAAGAGCTAGCGTCTCTTGTGCCATCTACTAAAATTCATTCTTGTGTTACTCGTCATTCAATTAAGTCTCATCCTTTTTCTGTTACTGTTCCTAAGTGCTCCAAAAACTCTTATTTGTCTAGTTTTTTTCCTCGAACATCAGTTCTTTGGAATTCGCTTCCTTTATCTTGCTTTCCTGATTCATATAATTTGCAATCTTTTAAGTCGTCTGTCAATCGTTATCTTGCTCTACAATCTTCATCTTTTCTCTTCCAGTAACTTCCAACACTAACTAGTGGTTGCTTGCAGCCTTGTTGGAAGCAAAGATATTAAAAGAAAGAAAAAAAAAAAATTTTTTTTTTTGATCAAAACAAAAGAATAAATAAATACCAAGAAAAACTAACTTATTTATTTTAGTCAAAGTTTGCATCCTCTGTTTTATTGTAGGCCTAAAAGTCAGCATAATATGATGCAGTCTTTAGACTTGATAATTTATTCAAAAGCGTTTTATTCTTAAGAGTTTTTAAACATAATGACATAATATTTTGAAAAAACATAATCATTGACTTTTTTAGTTGTTTACATAATTGATTACTTACGCAAACAAAAAAAATAAATGATGCCGTGTACTGAAACTCTTAGGAATAAAATGCCCTTTAATAAACTATCAAGTCTGTAGATTGCAGCGTATATTATGCTGACTTTTAGGCCTACAATAAAATGGAGAAGGCAAGCTTGGACTAAAATAACAAGTTAGTTTTTCTTGGTATTTATTTATTCTCTTGTTTTAATCAAAAAATCAGCCCAAACATTTTTTATTTATCATTCTCTTTAATATGAACACAACATGTTTCAGAAGTTTGGGATTCCTTTAATATAAAAAAATTCCCAAACGGTCTTGACCAAATTTTCTAAAACTAAAATACTCAAGCGTGGACATACAAGACAAAAAACTGCACACATTTCCTGGCAAGAAAGTGTGTGCAGGCTTGAATAGTAGTGCAGTTGATTCTGTTAGAGTTTTCTGGACAGTATTTTAAACTTCTTGTAATCTGGCAGAATTAAATGTAGTTAAAATTTGAATAAAACTATTCAAGATTTTAATTCTTTCATTTTTTTAAACTTGAGTCTTATCTTAATAATAAAAAATTACATTACTCAAGTGATTAAAGATTTTAGTTTTTGCTTTTCTTAAAAACCAAAAGCTTTAAACTTCAATGATTCAAATATTTTTTTATTAAGTAGAAGTTTGGCACTTTTAGCATAATAATTATATATGTATATATGTATAAGCATTTTTCACTTGGAGCTAAAGTTTGTTTGAAAATCTCTGTTTTTGAATGTAGTTGAAATATGTAATTGAAAATCTCTGTTTACAGCAATTGAATATTAGATATTTTGTAAAAAATCTGTTTTAGCATAAAATTAATTTGTTTTTGAAAAAAAGTTTTTGCATTAGTTATAAACTATATCCAAACCATTATATGACATCTTTATTAGTTTCAAGAAAAAAAGGAAAAAGTTTTGCTGCTCGGCTTTGTCATGAAGAAATTGACTAATCAATTTTTCTTTTGTAAAGCTTAATAAATTAAAAAATTTTTTACTTAGGAGAAGTCTTTAATTCAAAACACAAAGCATTGAAATTCCTTAAATAAATAACATCTCAACCAATCACATAAAACCTCAAACATGTTGCAAATTAAATTTAGAACAAAACTTTAGTAGAGTTTCAGAAATTATTCTCATTTATGTACTTTTTGGAAGAACAAACAACACTAATTTGATTTTGTCAAATAACCAATAAAAAAATGAATTGAAGAGAAAGTTAGCTAATAAGTTCAAAAGTAGTATAGAAAAAAATTAGGGGTGGGAGTTAAGGTTAGTTTTAGTCTAACTAAAAATACTTAACTAAATTTTTAGTCTAACTAAAATTAGTTAACTGACTTTTTATTTTACTAAAATTAGTTGACTAACTTATTAGTTAACTAAAATTACGCGACTAACTTTTTAGTTTAAGCACTCATTTATACGATTTGGCATTGAGTCTATTAAATTCTCTAAAATATGTTTGGGAATATTTCTAAGTATTGTTGGTAAAATATTCTGCAACTCCTCAAGGCTCCTTGGTGCTTTCTTGGCGATCTGTTTATCAAGCCAACTCCGAAGATTTTCAATGCAATTTAGATCTGGACTATTTGGTGGCCAAGTTAGACGCTCAATATTTTTGTTTTCGAACCATTCAGAGACAAAAACGGAACGCTTTGCTCAAGTGCATCAATTGATAGTAACAAGTTATTATTTAAAATATCGACATAATAAATAGAGTTGAGTCGACCATCAAATAATTTAAACATACCAAGACTATAATATGTCATGCAGCACCATATTCCGAATGACCTGCTACCTTGTTTTGTTCTTTGAACGATACAATCAAAATTATATTTTTCGGAAGGCTGCCTGCGAATCATAATTCGGTTTTTTCGGTTATCAACCTCGATATTCATCTCATCACTGAACATTACTGTCCTCCATTTTCTTTTGACCATTCTTTGACACTTTGGCAAAATTCTTTTCGCTTTTTTATATATTGTTTGTTAAGTCTCGGTTTTAGAACAGCTTTTTTCCATAGCATATTGTTAGCTATTAGTTTCCTACGTGATGTTGATGCGCGGTCTTCCAGACCTATGGCGATCAACATAAGATTTCATCTCTCTGAATCTTTTAATGATTGTTAGCACCGAACTATGCGATCGTTTTATTATTCTTCCAATTTCACGAGCGGTTTTACCTTCCTGGTGATAATGCATTACTTTTACACAATCTTCATAGGAAATAGCTTTTCTGTTCAATTTTTCAAAAAAAGTGAGTTTTTTTTTGTTCGAAATTAAATACTTTTTTTTAATACTTTTGGTTTTTTGGTAATGACTCAGGTCATTAATAAAATATTTAATTAAAAAAGGTAAAAATCAATTGAAAAAAGCCTTTTCCACCGCATTAAGCACTTGTGAAAAAGTTAAGTTTCCTTGCAGATTAAGATTTCTTAGCATAGTAAAGAGTCAAGTGAGAATGAGTTTTTGTTGATGGAACTAGAGATAATAATTCTTTTGAGCAGCCGCCATGATAGAATTTGTAGAAAAGAGAAAGAGATGCAACTTTATGACAATAGAAAAAAGGCTCAAGCTTAGCAGAAAGAGCTTGTTTAGAAGAAAAAGGGCATCATAAGAAGAACCAGCCCAAATAAGACAACAACATTCCATACAGGGACAAAAAGATATTTGTTGAGGTAGAGAATGGAATCAAGGGTAAGAAAACAACGATAATGATAAAGGGATGCTAATTTAGCAATCGATTGTATATTTTGTTTACAAAAAAAGGTTAGTAGCAAATAATATTCCAAGAAGATGTAAAAAAGAGGACTCAGTAAGAGGGTTACCATTAATTAATATAGGAATGTCGACAGTATTGTGGTAGTTGTTTGCAGTAAATAACAGAGTTTTGTTGGAAATAAAATTTATAAGCTAAAATATGTGAGCCCCAATCTGTGAACAGATTGGGGCTCACATATTTTAGAAGTCTTATCTACATTATTGATCTTCCTGACAACCCTACATCTATAGTAGCTCTTTTTGCTGATGACTCAAGTTTTTACTCCTGTCTTGACAAAAAGTCTTCTCTTTTTGATCGCTTAGAACAGGCAGCCAGTTTTGTATCAACAGTTACAAAATTGGCTGCCTGTTCTAAGCGATCAAAAAGAGAAGACTTTTTGTCAAGACAGGAGTAAAAACTTGAGTCATCAGCAAAAAGCGCTACTATAGATGTAGGGTTGTCGGGAAGATCAATAATGTAGATAAGAAACAAAACAGGACCAAGAATAGAACCTTGAGGTACCCCAGAAGTTACTGGAAATAAATAAGTAGGCCTTGACGATGATTATAATAAAGCAGTTAGAAAGAAATGATTTAATAATCCCAGATACACAATTTGAAGTTTCAAGTTTAATTTAAGTTTAATTGTTCAATATTTAGTTCATACTTAAGCTCATTTTATATTCAACAGGTCTCTAATATTGTTTAAATAGTCCCTAAAATGTTTTATTAAAAAGTCAACTTATTATTCAAATAAAGAGAAATTTATATAAATCTTTTCTGAATTAGAATCTAAAATTAGATTAGTACAGAAAATAACCACACCACATTAACAACACTGAGTAGTGATTTTTAAAGCACCATAATATCTATATATACATATATATACATATATATATATATATATATATATATATATATATATATATATATATATATATATATATATATATATATATATATATATATATATATATATATATATATATATATATATATATACTATATATATATATATATATATATATATATACATATGTATATATATATATATATATATATATATATATATATATATATATATATATATATATATATATATATATATATATATATATATATATATATATATGTATATATATATATATATATATATATATATATATATATATATATATATATATGTATATATATATATATATATATACATATATATACATATATATGCATATATATATGTATATATATATATATGCATATATGTATATATATATATATATATATATATATATATATATATATATATATATATATATATATATATATATATATATATGAATTTTTTTTCTTGTTGGTTATCAACAGGAAGAACAAAAATAATTATGATTAGGCTCTCCATACAGGGGGCAGAAAAAAAACCTTAGTCACCCATTTATTTATACCTCTTAACCAAAATAATAAAATGGAAAAAGATGAACAATTCTTTTGCCATAAGATTATGTCTAAAAATTGAACTTAAAAAACAGAGCATATTAAAGATTTTTGCAAGTGTTCTGATATAGTGCTATATGAAAATATCTAGATGAATAAATAATGTAATTAGAAAAAAAAAATGCTGTTAAAAAATAATTTCAAATAAATAAATGGATGAAATAAATAAAAATTTATGTTAAATTGGCGTTTATACATCTAATTGTGCCTTTAATGGCCAAATTCTAAAATTATACTAGAGTAAAGAAAAACTGTTCCAAAATTTATGTCAAAAAAAAACTGAAAAATTGTTAAAAAAAAGCAATGCAATACCAAAAAAACACCAAAACAAAACAAAAAAACGCCAAAAAAACGTTTTTTTGACCCAAAAAACCGCCAAAGGTAAAAAACGCGTTTTTTTGCAACTATAGTAATAGCATTTGTTAACAGGTTATTGTAATCCTCTTTGGACAGCTTATACATATTTGATGTATTGTCAGCTTGTGTTAGGGTTTCCTGAGATAAACATATAGTTTTAATGTCTTTTTTTCATACCATTTTGGTATGAAAAAAAGACATTAAAACTATATGTTTTAATGTCTATAAGGTGTTGCATATGTCTCTAAACTTTATTGATTTGATAAGATTGATTAGGTCTTTTTCTAAGAGTGACATTTCTTTTATTTGCAGTAGACATATAGGCGATTTAATTTTATTATGATTTTATTTTATTTTATTATTTTATAAATTTTTATAATCTTTTTGACGCAGGAGACTATTAAACTATAACGGCTTTTTTTGTTTTATATTTTACGTAATTTTGTTTATAACGTCAGAAGTCATACTGCAGTAAGTTTTACATTTTTGTAACAGTTTGTTTACATTTTTTGTTTGTATTAACGGCTGATGATTGCTTTTTGGCATGAAACTTTAAGTCCCGCTAATCAGTTATTTTAATTCATCTAAACAAAATATAATTATATAGCTCTATTATTCAGTAATATTGAGCACTGTAACACGTAAGAGTCTTTGTACGTGTTACAGTGAATACAAATATTATGTTGTATTTTATGTCCATATTATGTCTGAATGTTTATTAACAATTGCAATACTTTAGGTTAATATAAAAAAAGCCAAAAAATTCCAGTTGATAAGTTTTTAGTAAAACTGACAATTTTCAAACCCCTTACCCTTTTTACTAGACAAACTTTTTAATAAAATAAATTGTTCACGTCTCTCCTAATTTCTTAATACATAAAAAAAATATTTTATGTATTAAAAATATTTTGTGCACTTCCATAATCAAAATTTAGTTTAAATTTAACATCCTATTTAGTTTTTTTTTTTTAATATTACCAGCATTATTAAAATCATTGGTTAGACTGTTTAATTGGTTAATTATTTAAAAAAAAATAAGTTTTTGCTTTTGAAATATTGATTTATTAGATGATTTTGTGTGTTTTTCTGCAATCATATTTACACGGTTTTTCCATGTTATATCACCAGATATAAAGACATCTAAATCTTGTTCCTGGCTTTCAGAATAATTTAATGATTTTCAGTGCCTTTTGGTTGACCAAATTCCTAATTTTTTCCTAGTACATAATTTTAACAATGTTTTGAAATAAACTTGCAGGTAAACATTAGCTGATCATTTAAATATACATTTAAAAAAGAAGCTTTAAATTACTTAAGCAAATATGAGTTTTAATACTGTAAAAGAGTGGTCACAAACATTAGTAGTACAGAGTTAATTAGTAGTAAAAAAGTACTTGAATTGCAAAGTGTTAAAAAAAATGTGTGTAATTTTTGTATTGTATAGTAAATTTTGTAACCAAAAGTAGGAGTAGCTTCTTATCTATTATGTTTTTTTTTTTTTAATTAAAAGGCATAGTTTTATCATAGCATGTCATCAAGCTTATGTTTCTTTTGTATAAAAATGTTTTTTTAAACATCAAAAAATGCAAAATGTGAATAAAGTTTTTAAATTGCTATGACTTAATACATTTACAATTTGATTCAATTGCTTTCAGAATGAAAAAAGAAGAAAAGTAAGATTAAGAGTAGTTTTAAACCATGGTATTTTAAAGCTACATGAATAGCTGTAGATTGTATTTAAAAAAACTAATTTAAAAAAATATCTTTTTTTTTTAATATATCACCTTAATGTACATACCTTTGTATGCGGTAAAAAAGAATAACAAGTTTTAATATTAAATTAATTGCTTTACTTTCGTGTTGTTTATTTAGCAAATGTATTTCAGTTTATTTGTGTATTTATCAAGATGAAGATTTTTTAATAAATTTAAACTATTTCACAATAAAACAACAAAACATTTTTAAAAAATGTTTAGTTGTTTTATTGTGAAATAGTTTAAATCTCTTATTTTCAGCAAGCCAACTGATTGATTTTAAGTATGGAAATGGTCTTGAAGTAGCTTTAGGCGGAGGGCGATCTGCATTTCTTCCTAACTCAACGGTTGATGAAAAGACAAAAAAAACTTATAAAAGAGGTGATGGCAGAAATCTTGTTGAGGAATGGATTAATAAAACCTCTAGTAATGGTAAATATGAGTATGTTTCTAATGCAGCTCAGTTAAGAAATCTAAAACCAGAGGCTGTTGATCATGTGCTTGGTAAGATTTTTTTAGTCACTAGAGTTATTTTTTGTTTAATTTTTAAATTTAAAACAAATAATTTTTATTAGTAATGTACAATGTTTTTATTTAAACAGGAATCTTCAATTATGATCATTTGAGTTACTCTTACTATCGCTTAAATGGAACAGATGAGCCATCTTTAGTTGAAATGGTTGAATTTGCTGTCAAAGTACTCAGCAAAAATTCTAAAGGATTTTTTTTGTTAGTTGAAGGTTAATATGTTTTTGATTAACATTTTTTGTGGGAAGTGTAGTTAACACATGTTTTAAGGATTCAGTTTAACTTGTTCTTGTTGTACAGTATACTTTGTCAGCAAGAACAGCATTTCATTTTCTTCTCAGCAAGGATATGCTGTTTTGGCTGAACTGCATAGAGTTCTTTACAGCTGTTTTTTACTGATGTCAAGTGTTGATTAATATGGTCTTAATGTTTTCTTTATTCACATTTATTTTTTTATTAAGTTAAAGCAATTTGGATCTGTAAAGTGTAATAATTTTATTTACATTTTTTTTATAAATATACATTATTTATGTAATATTTAAAAATATAAAGCCAAAACAAAATTGGACAAATTTAATTGATTAAATAACAAATAATTGTGGAAAAAATTTAAATAATTCAAATAATTATGGTATTAATTTGTTTTTAGTACGAAGTAAATTGGTGCATAGTAAAAAAAAAAAACAGTCCTTTATGGTTGATATCGTAGCAACCATTACAATAATATAATAAAACATTATATATTGTAGCATTTTTTTAACGTAAAATAAGACAATTGACTAATTGCTTCAGCCAAACACATTATTAATTTTTAGATAAATATTACCTTATAAAAAATGATGTATTAACTATTTCATAACTTAACAGTGTTCTAAGTTTAGTAATGAATAAGCCTAGAAATAAAATATAGCAAAAACATTTGCTAATAACATAATCTTTTTGTACTAAAAAGTAGAAAATAAACTTTTTAATTTAAATTAAATAGTTCCATAAACTAAAGATTGACAGATATTTTCTGAAAAAATCTTGCGCAGACCTGTCAATCTTTAGTTTACGGAACTATTAAATTTAAATTAAAAAGTTTATTTTTTACTTTTTAGTACAAAAAGATTACGTTTTTAGCAAATGTTTTTGTTGTATTTTATGTTCTACTTTTTAGTCTTTACAGAAAGTTACGATATTTAGTGATGCGTTTGTCAAGACATTAGTAATAAAGTCGAGTTTTTTATCCTAAAGAAACAAAGTATTTGCTGATTAAATGACCGGAACATTTTTCTTTTAAAAGATAAGATTTTTTTTATAAAAGTAAAATAACTTAAATTACAAATATTTCATTTGCATTACAACCCGCGTCCTCCCACAGATGTATTATATTTTAATAATAATATTAAACAAAGTTAACATAACTTTGTAAGTTACTTTTTCAATTTTATTAAAAAAATAATTTTTCAAAAAAAAAAAAATTAAAAAAAAGATTTAAAAAGAAATACAAACCCGCAAGCAATCTTAGTCGATTTTCAACATAGAAAAATTTTTTAGCAAATGTTTTTGCTATATATTTTTTTCTACTTTTTAAACTTACAGAGAGTCACAATATTTAGCAATTTCAAGACATTTGAAATTAAATCGAGCTGAATGTGGTGTAAGTACGAACTGCATATATGTAAATTGGCATAAGTGCAAAGCAGTTACAAAAACTGGCACAAGAGCATAAGTGAGCCAAAAGAATTTGCAAACATTGGCATAATTGCGAACTGGCGTAAGTGCGCCGAATAAAATTGCAAATATTGGCATAACGCAAATTGTTATTTCGCTCTTATGCCAATTTGCACTTGTGCCAGTTTTTGTAACGCATCGCACTTATGCTAGTTCGCACTTATGCCAATTCGCACTTATTAAGCCTCTGGGATTAAAGTGCGAACTGGCTTAAGTGCGCCAAATAAAATTGCAAATATTGGCATTAAGCAAATTGTTATTTCGCTCATGCAAGTTCCCGCTTATTAAGCCTCCCGGATTAAAGAACTGGAATATATTTTTTTTTAAGGATAAAATTCTTTTATATAAAAGTAAAATAAGATATAGTATAAATATTTCATTTGTAAGCCACCCTCGTCCTCCCACATATGTAATATATTTATATAATTAATATTAGACAAAATTATGTTGTAAGTAAAAACAAATATTTTTTTAAAAAAAAAGTGTTAAAAAAAAAGATACAAACCCACAAGCGTAATATTAGTCGATTTAAAAAAATAAACATTTATTATATTATTATAATTACACTTTAATAATAAAACTTTAAAGTGTAATTATAAGCAAGCACTTTAGAAGCAAATTTTTATATAAAGGGTTAGTTTTTATGAGTCCCTTGGACGACAAAGAAAGTTGAGGAAGAGTTTATGTTAAGTGAAAAAAAAAAAGATTATAAAAAAGGCTATATTTAACTTTTCTAAACCATTTGGCTGATCATTAGATGCTTCAAACAAAACAGTTCAATCATTAGATGCTTCAAACAATTCAAGTTCTTTTTTTAATGGATATTAATTTATTTTTTATTTGGTAAAGCCACAAAAGTATCAGATAAATGTCCTTTGGCAACGATTCTTAAGATTCTGGAGCAGAACTCTTGTTATTTGAATCAATTAATTGGCTAGTTTCAATTGAGATTATATTTTTTCAAATCAAGTCTTATGTATAGATCTTTTGCTATCTATAGAAGATGCTTTAATTTTTGGTTAATAAAAAATTAAGTTTTTAGTAATTTTATCTAAACAATTTGGATAATCTTTAACTATCTTCCTAGTCCACTAATGCCCGAGTTTCTAATTACAAGTCCACTTGGCCAATTTTTATAATTTTAATTATAGTTTGATAAAGATTATCTGCTGATTCAATTACATTGATGTTATCTAATTGTTTCTGCCATTTCCCACTTTATTCATTGTCATTCTGCCATTTCCCACTTTATTTATTGTCATTCTGCCATTCCCCACTTTATTTATTGTCATTCTACCATTCCCACTTTATTCATTGTCATTCTGCCATTCTACACTCTATTCATTATCATTCTGCCATTCCCCACTTTATTCATTATCAGAATCTTCATCAATTTTGTCAATTTTGTCATGTTCATGTTTCAAATTTTTCAAAACGTTTCTTGTTGAAATTTCTGTAAAAGACATCTACAACACTAAGATAAAGATCATAGAAGTGACAACGTTGATGAACAACTTTTAGACTTCATAAGTAATAATAAGCAAACAAAAAAAAAATATTATTATATATTATATATATATATATATATATATATATATATATATATATATATATATATATATATATATATATATATATATATATATATATATATATATATATATATATATATATATATATATATATATATATATATATATATATATATATATATATATATATATATATATATATATATATATATATATATATATATATATATATATTAGGGTGACTCTTAAAACAACTTTTTTGAGAAAAACCTGCTTCCACCCCCTAAATTTGTTCTATCTAATACAAAAACACTAGGTTTACATTTTTTTTGAGTATATGGTATTCTAAGAGGTCCTTCAAGACCATTAAATATTCAAGGAATATTTAATGGGTCCCTTTCAAAAAAAAAATTTCAAAAATTTGTCAACCTGGTACTCAATTGAAGCAAAATTATATAAAAATTTCTAAAATAAAATTTATTTCAAAAAAAATTTTTTTCATTTAACACTGTGTTTCATCAATAAAGACTCTTTAGAAATGCCTATATGTATATATATATATATATATATATATATATATATATATATATATATATATATATATATATATATATATATATATATATATATATATATATATATATATATATATATATATATATATATATATATAAATATATATATATATATATACATATATATACATATATATACATATATATACATATGTATACATATATATATATATGTATATATATATATATATATATATATATATATATATATATATATATATATATATATATATATATATATATATATATATTTAATATTAAATTTGTTTACAGGTGGTCGAATTGATCATGGTCATCATGACAACAAAGCTTTCCATGCTCTTCATGATGCAGTGGAACTGAATCATGCTGTTCAAAAAGCAAAAGACATTACTGACCCAAGTAACAATTTTATCACTGTTTTATAAAAAAAAGTTATTATGAAATAAGATATGTTCGCAAAAACACAATATAAGTTAAAATTATCTTGGTTAAGTTTATCTAGGTAATATGGGTAATTTAAACAAAAAATAAAATTAATGTTGTTTATTGGTCAAATAATTTGAGTTGAAAATAGGTGCAATTTGAAAAATTTTATTTCATATTTTCTGATTAGCGTTTCCAATTATATAAATTATTGAAAACAGTTTTTTTTAATTAATAAAAAATTATTTAAGCATGTTTATATTATATTAAAAGTTTAAATAAAAGAATATAAGTTTAAAATTTATATTTTTTTAAATTTTTTAAAGTTGTATTTAGTTTACAATAATATTTATTTTTTAAACATTTATATAAATAATTTATTTAAATTTATTTAAATTGTATTTTTGATACATTTTTATAATACATTTAACCAATTTATTTTTTATGTTTAAGAATTAAAAATTTAAAAACAGTATAATATTTCTTTATTTAAGTGTTTATTATTTAATTCTTTAGTTTCTGTATAGCTTTAGTTTAAAAAACAAGATAAACTGTTTGTTAATACCATTTTAAAAATATTCATAGTTTTCACAATTTTCTAAAATTTAGTCGAAGTTAAAAATTTTACTAAATAAATTATGAACTAAATAATACAAATTTGGTAAATATTTTGACTTAAAAGACAATTGAAACAAACATTGAAATAATATGACTAAAACAAACAGTTATAAGTAGTGATTAACCTAAATTCTTTTTCGGTATCGGTTGCGGCCGAAATGTCAATTTGAACCGATACCGAAATTTCGGTTTTGGTACGTTTTATAAATTCGATAAAAAAGAAAAATTCGGTCGAAAAAAATACCGAAAACCAAAATATTTGTGAGATTTTAAATTTTTATCTTAGAAAAATTATTTTTAAGAGTTATCATAAAATATTTTGAAAGTTTTCACAAAATACCGCGAAAAAATCTTGTTTTGCAGTTTTGCCTGTTGTTAACTTTCGCTATTAACTTATATCTTATTTCGCTAATAACTTTTATTACCAACTTATGTATTAAATCTCAATTTGTGAGACACGTCAATTTTAACATAATGCACGTATAAAAAAAAACAAAAAACGTAAAATTGAGTTTTTAAATAAAATATTCTCATGAAATTAATATTGAATAGCCTAAATGTCGATTTCGGTTTCGGCACCGAACAAGAGTACTCGAAATTTCGGTTTATTTCTGTTCGAGCTTTTTTTCTTTTTCGTTATAAGTATTATTATGGGTCAATTTAAATTTTATATTCAAGCGTGAACAACTGTTTCAATATAAAATGATTTTTTGCACCATAGTAACTGGCGATTGAAAGTGGATTTACTTCAATTGCCCAAAGCATATCAAATTGTTGCTGAGACCTGGATAATTTATGATTATCCAGGTCAAGCTTAAATCATAAATTATCCAGGACCTCGATAATTTATGATTTAAGCTTGACTGGATAATCATAAATTATCCAGGTCAAGCATAAATAAATTAGTTAACAGAGAAATGTCATTAGGCCAATTCTTTCAAAACAAAAATAATTGTGTCTTCATTGTTTCTCTAATAAATGATTTTTACAACTTTATAAATGATTTTTACAACTTGTATATATTATAAATTTTTATACTATTTAAATTATTTTAAACCATAATTCGTTATTTACTATATTTTATTAAAATATATTATTAAATATGGTTTAATTTGAAATAAAAGAATCATTTTAAAAGATTAATGTTAAGGGCTTAAACTTATTGTGATTTTAGTTATTAAGTTGCATTTTATTGAGTTGCTTGTCATATTTTTTCAATTCTAATCTTGCAATTTTTAAATGAAACGAAATGCTTATTTAGATTGTCATAATTGTTCTTTGTATGTGGCAGCAGTGCACTTGCTTAGTAAGCAAGAGAAATCAATCCATTTTGCCTCTAGACTCTGCGCAGCTGCCTTATTTTTTAAAATGTATTTGAGTTTCATAGTAGAGAAAAAAGTACAATAGTGAAAAAGATTTTGTTAAAAAAATCATTTAAAAAAACAATAATTAGCCTTGACTATAGTTGCCCTTCGGATCTAAGGAGATTAAGAAAAACTGCTTCTTGTAAAGAAAGGAAACGAAAAAGTGATAATCGTTGTTATATTTTTTCATAGATGAGACTCTTCTAATAGTTACAGCTGATCATTCACACGTGTTTACATTAGGAGGGTACCAAAGTCGTGGAAACCCCATATTTAATTTAGTGAATAGAGAAGATTTCATAGCACAAGATAATAAGACATACTCAACTTTAGCATATTTAAACGGTCCCGGTGCTGAAATTAACAAGGAGAGAAGAAATGTCTCGCAAGATGATCTTTCTAAGCCAGATTATAGATACCCTAGCTTGGTGCCATTAGAGGATGAAACCCATGGAGGAGAAGATGTTGGTAAGAAAGTTTACTTTTATGACTAGTCTAACTTTAATTTATATTTTTGTTACGAATATATTTTTTGTTATTTATATTAATTGCTTTAATATATAGATTGATATAATATATTTTTAATCTAAGTATTTATATTTTTAGGTATCTATGCTCGTGGACCTCAGGCTCATTTAATTTCAGGAGTTGTCGAGCAAAACTATATATTTCACGTTATGGACTATGCGCTGTGTTTAACTAAAGAAAAAAAGACAATGTGCGAGGAAGAAGGGTTGATTAACCCCAAAACCACCCCAAAACCAAGTTCCTCGCCATCGTTCTGCTTTTCTGTAATTGGTTTGATATTATTGCAAACAATGCTTTTTTTCTTCAATTAAACATTTTTATTTTAAATAGCAAACTTACATAGAAATATATATAAAAATATTCATATTTGTAAAGTAAATTTAAACTTTTTTTATTTTTTTCTGTTTATGAGTACCAACATCGCAAATTTTATGAAAATTTTTTATGAGAATCTAGATATGTATACTATCTTTATGAGAATCTAGATACGTATACTATCTTTATATTAATCTAGAAACGTCAGTGGCGGATCTACAGCACTGCAGATTAGGCGGCCGCCTAAGGAGAAATATTATATTATAAATAAGGTGTATCTTACTTTACATTAGAATTTTTTTCACGGTTTCGCATTTGATTCCGCAAAAATGAGCGTGAGTGTTAAATATAATGATTGGTGAAATGGCTTTTTTATGCATTAGGCGAAAATTTTTTTGCCTAATCTAAGGCAATCTGGAATATCGGAAATTTAGCCCAATTTACTTTAAATTTGGCCGGTTGGTTTTTATGCTTAAGGCCGCCTGATCTGAGGCGATCTGATCAGGAAATTAAGAAAACTAGGCATATTTGCCTGAAACTTGGCCGATTGGGTTAAGTTTAGGCATAAAAAGTCTGGAAATTAAAAAAATTTAAACAATTTGCTTGAAATTTTGCCGATTGGGATATAGTTTACGCTGGAAAATATTACACTTAGCATTTCTTTCTTCAATTGTCTAATTTTAGATGTCTAAGATTTTTGATAATGTGCGAATTGCATTAGAGAGAAGCAATAAAGTTACATTCGAATTAGAGAGAAGCAATAAAGTTACATTCGAAAAGATTAACAAGAAGTATTCCCTCCAAGTTGATTCTTTATGTTTTTTTGATTAATTAATGAATGCAAAAAAGAATAGGTACTAGTAGTACCTATTCTGTAAGTTATTATTTGTTTATACTGCTTTATTTGCATTAAGTTATTTAATCAGAGGTTTTCATCAGATTAGCATTAGTATTAAATTATTCATATTTTGCTAGCAAATCACAAGTTAATCTTACAGATTAAGTTGTAAAATAATGTTTTAGTGCAAAAACTAGTTAGTGGTTTTAGCTATGGATTTATTTACAAGGATTTTAAAGTTAAACAACAAGGCTTTATACACCCATTGTTTTAGTCATCGATTAAATCTAGCAGTGTGTAATTCTTGCAAAGTTCAACTTCTCTGAATGTTATGAACCATGTAAAAGACGTTTTTTTATTACTTTAATCTTTCTATCAAAAGAAATTCTGTCTTGGAGACAATGATTTTAGAACACTGATAAAAAAGAAAAAAACTTAAAGGTGTTAGTTGAACTAGGTGGCTTGAAAGAATAAACGTTTAAATGTTTTGGACACATTTGAGAAGTTGTATATTCCAATAGTTTATTCCCTTGAAGCTATAAGCAATGACATAAATAATTTTAGGGGCAGTCTCTCAAAATGCTACATCTTTATTGAAATTGGTCACTACCTTTGAATATATTATTTCCTTGGTTGTGGCAGAGCTGTTTTTGATGAAACGCGTATAGTGACTAAGATTGGAGGGAGAGCTTTAAGATTTTTTCTGATTTTTATTCTGAAGATTTGTTAAATCCATTAGCTTTAGATGCAGAGTGTGTTCTTTGGGAGGTATACTGGACTACCACTAATTATCCCATTCCAAATAATATGTCTGATACTATAAAGTCAATTTCATGTATAAATTCTTTTGCCAATATTTTTGTTTGTTTGCAGTTATTAGCAACTTCACCTGTGACATTATATTCTTATGAAAGATCTATTTCAAATCTTCGCAGATTAAAAACCTGGTCAAGATCAACTATGTCTGGAGATCGTTTGGTTTAATATTGATGTATACACATAGAGATATAGTTCTAGATAATTAAGAAGTTATCAAAAAGCTAATGCAAAGTCATGGTTATGTTTCTATACAAATAAGTTTAAGTCTCTGTGACTAGGTTTATTCGTAAACATTTATACACATTTATTAGTTTAAAGGCTAAAGCATATAAATCACTTAAAATCTCTGTGAATATGACTTCGTTTTGCCTACTATAATCACTATAATCTATAATCACAAGTTAAACCTTTTGTGAGAACTTAAAGTGATTCAGAGTTTGAATACATTTTAAATTGTTTTTAATTATTTAGGATGTTTAAATATTCAAACATTGTAGTAAAATCAAATAATTTTGAATTATTTGAATGAATACAATACACTTTTAGTATCAATCTAATTGACACTAAAAGTGTATTGCATTCATTTGTATGTAGGATAAAAGCATATATTTTATTGCCTAAAAATAAATTTGGCCATAAATGTATTTTTCAACCTTAAAATCCAAAATTAGTGAAAATAAAGATTTCAGTAAATAAGGAGTTATGGAAAACCTTTCTGGTTGAAACAGTTCAGTACAATATATTATTTATCCTAATTTTTATTTCATTAAATTAGCAGTTTACTTTCTGAGGGGATTTTTGTTTTAGAAAAAATTGTTATATTGTTAAAATTGTTATATTGTTAAAATTGTTATATTGTGAAAATTGTTATATTTTTATTAGTAGTATTATTGTTCAAGGAGCTCTCCTGAACAATATTACTTAATAACTTGCACATTTTTATTTTTTGTTGTTCAAAATTGCAACTGCGATTCCAGGCTTGTGATTTAGATAGTTTGTGTAAATTTTTAGGCGATTTTTAACAACTGGAATTTTTCTTATCTTTATCCTTAATTACAGAACAGTTTTTATCTTTACTCAATCACTAGGAGGACTTTATCAACATTTAAAGTGTAATTTCAAATCATGAAATATTTTTTAAAAACTTTATAAATGTTTAAAAACAACTTTATTTTATTGTCATAATACTCTTTATCTTTTATGATTAAGTTTTCTGTAAACCAATGAATGAAAATGTGCAAGGAAAAGCAGTTTGCTAAGTGATTTTGTATTTTTCTGTCATACACCTTCAGTCGTTCTGCATAAAAATCGTTCACATGAATAGGAAGGAACCTTGACTTGGTTCATGTGCTTTAAACAAATACTTTCCAGACAGATACATTCTCACCCGTTGTACTGTGAGGGATAAATGGTCAGAAATTTGATTTCTTTAGATTTTTTTTCGTCTGAATTTAGTTATTACTCAATAAATCAAACTTTTTAAAATGTATTAAAATCATAGTTAATCTACTATTTGTTTTCAACGGTTTGTATTCTTCAATTTGGCTAATAAAAATTAGCAAATCAATAAAAAGGGCTGGTGCTAGTTGCCAATAAAGATTGTGAAATATTTGGCTGATTAAGCCAATGCAGATTAATCTGAACATCACTAAGAACATTCAGATTAATTTTGAATTTCCAAATTCCTTTTTTTATTTTTAGTTGACATTGAGCTATTGGGATAAGCCATAGGGGAAGCCCCCTGGTGTCAAAGCCCCTGGTGTCAAAACCTTTTAAAAATATAAATCCGAGTTAGTGGGGAGTTCACAAATAGTAAATGGGGAAGGGGGGCTTATTTGGTATTTGAAAATACCACTGTCTGGGATGGATTGTGTAATAGCAATCGTGGCTCAGTGGTTAGAGCATTGGATTCGTAATCTAAGGGTTGCGAGTTCGATCCCTACTCGAAGCACATAAACATTATCGGTAAGGTTGGAAACGGAGAGCCAACTTTTAAATGCGTATTATAAAGTCCTTGTGGCGGTGCTCTGTGACAAGGCCATTAGGACTTCTTAGAGCACCTTAATAACAAAAAAAAAAAGGGGGGGGGGCGGTAATATTAAAAAAAAAATCGCCTAAGGAAAAATAAATCCTAGGTCCGCCTCTGAACGTATACTATTTTTATGAGATTTTAAATACGTATACTATTTTTATGAGATTTTTATCTAGATACGTATACTATCTACTACCAAATATATAAAATTAAACATGTAGATTGCGTTAATAAAGGCATGAAACCTACAAAATAATTAATTATCAATTAAGATTAAAAAACACTTTATAGATGACTTTAAACTTTACAACAGTGTGATTGATAACTTTACATGAAAATACATGTTACCATACACTATTTAATAAATTGATAATAGAAATGATATTGCATAAATAAAATACATATCTTACCATATATGTCAAAGCATATATGTCTTTTCACCGAGAACAAGTAACATTAAGCTCGTTTATAAAACATTGCAATTGCTTTTATTTGCTATCTGATAAAAACAAAATTAGCTTACGACACTATTTTAAACTTTAATATATATGATGTTAACTTTTCAAAAGTTAAAGTAAATTTCAAATTAAAAAATATAAAATCCCCATGGATTGCTAAGGATTTAAGAAAATCCTTCAAAATAAAACAAAAGTTGTAGAATAAATTCCTAAATCTAAAAACCGATAAAAGTAAATATAAAGTTATATTAAACTTGCGCTAAACAATTTGAATGTCAAAGAAAAAATCTTAAAAAAAACAACAATGATATACTTGAAATCTTTAAATTCTAAGCGCACTTAAAAAGTTATAAAAATCACAGGCAGCTTCAAAATGAAAACATTCACATTTTCTAAAACCATTAAAATAAATGATACTTTTTTGCATTATCAAGGAGAGATAGGAAATGAGCTAACAAATATTTTGTTTTTGTAGCCATATTTATCCAAAGAAATTCCTCAAGAAACTATTCAATTGGATAATACAATAATTCTTAATACGTCACAGCTTAATTCACTTAAACTAACTTTTGAAGTGTTTAAATGCGCCTTTAAAATTGTGCGGGCGTGGCGCAGTGGTTAGAGCGCTTGCTTTATAACCAGGAGACTCATGTTCGAAACAAGCTCAGGACATAATTTCACGTCACGGTAAGGAAGGAGGCGTAAACTTCCTGGTTAAATGCACTTCCACGGTGCTCTGTGACTAGACGTTTACGTCGTCTTGAGGCACCAAAATAACAAAAGAAAAAAAAAAATGCTAAAACCTAACAAATTAGTTAGTTCGGATAATATCGATGTAAATATTGTTATTAAATCATTTGAAGAAAAAAAGGATATACTTTTAAAGATTTTTTCTTGTTCTACT